TGCTTGGAGTTTGAATGTGTTGTGACTAAAGATGCTTGATCTGGTTCTCATATCCTGTTCTTGGTCATACCCCAGGCAGCACTACAGTCTGGAAACAGAGTGGCTGGGCAGTGGCCAGGCAGGAAGGGACCTGGGGATACTGAGTGACAGCAGCTGAACATGAGCCAGTGTGTGCCCAGGTGGCATCCTGGCCTGGATCAGAAATGGTGTGGCCAGCAGGACGAKGGAAACCATTCTTTCCCTGTACTGGGCATTGGTGAGGCCACATCTTGAAGGCTGTGTCCAGTTCTGGGCCCCTCAATTCAGGAGGGATGTTGAGATGCTGGAGCATGTCCAGAGTTGAGCAACAAAGTTGGGCAAAGGATCTGGAGCACAACTCCCACGAGAAGTGGCTGAGGGAGCTGGGATTGAGGCTCAGGGAGACCTTATCACTCCACAATGGCCTGAAAGGAGGCTGGATCCATGTGGGGGTTGGTGTCTTCTCCCAGGCAGCCAGTGGTAGGACAAGAGGACATAGCCTTAAGTGTCACCAAGGGATGATTAGGTTGGTCATTAGCAAGAAATTCTTCAGAGAAAGGGTGGCTGGGCATTGGAATGGGCTGCCCAGAGCAGTGGTGGAGTCACCATCCCTGGGTTGCCTAAGAAAAGACAGGATATGGCACTCAGTGCTATGGTCTAGTTGACAAGGTGGTGTTTGGTCATAGGTTGGACTTTAAGATCTCAAAGATCTTTTCCAACCTAGCTGATCCTGTGATTCTGTGATTCTGTGATTCTGTGATTCTGTGATTTGTTGTGTTTATGAGCTTGTTTGAGTTTGCTGTGCTCTTGCAAGTTGTGCTCCTTATCTTCACTGTCTGCTGGAGGAAGATGTAAGGAAAAATACTTTCCACTGTTTTGTATAATGAAAGTTAATATGCTTTTCTCAGAGAAGTGTGTTGATAAGCAGATTCCATCAATAAATATCCTACTTTGTGGACTCAAACCTCCATCCATGGGGCCTTCTTCATCCATRAAGGACAAAGATAAATGATGACTTCATTACTGTTCCAGGACTCTTGCATTAACTGATATACATCTGTCTCAGGGACRTAAAATAACTCTGTGTGGTGGTTTTCACAACTTAATACAAATGTTATTCTAGATTAAATGAAGTGACTGAAAATGTTGCTTGCAGTTCTTTCCTAATGTTTCATATTTCTGATCTCTAAGGYTGCATAGAAAGAAACATCTGTCTTGAGTTGAACTAAAATGGGATTGACATTTTTTAAAATTTCTTTTAATCATCAGAGGGTAGTTCACCTGCATTTTATGAAGTTGTTGCTTGCCAAATGCAATTTGCCTCTGTGACTGTATATGGGATGGGAGATTATTTTCTAAAAAGGATGGCAAAAACCATCCTGTTTGGAAAAGGATAACTCCATGATGTATGCACATGTAGATGAATGTGTGATTCCTCTTCCTAATTTTCTTTGGTTTCAAATAATATATATATATATATATTAGTATTTCAATATGCTTTATTAAAATGCTGCACAGGCCTTAAAGGCATCCAATAGATATCATCATATTGATGCAGAAGGAAACAGAAAAGAAAGATAAATCTTAAGTTGTCATGTTGCATGCAAGCTCTCTTACCCTAATTTTTTTTTGGTCAACCTGGCAAATATGTATTGCTGTATTTGTACTGTTCTGCACAATTGCCGATGGTTTCTCTGTGTATTTAAAAAAAAGATTACATTTTTATGCTTACATGTACTTACTAGCATTGCTTTGTAATGCTTATGTTCTTCTGACACTTCTATAGGGTTGTTTAGTGCAAATATAAGTTATTAGTTTCTGTGTAGATTTGGAGCTGAGAATCATGTAACAGATTTAAAAGCAATGTGGAAGATGCAATAATCGTACATCCTTGGTAGCTTTAACTGCCTGTGTTGTTAGCCCATCTATACAGAGTATTATAATGCTATTATTTTATATTACTTTAAATAATRTAGTGTTTAGACTGATTTTCCGAAATATTTCCATTCATTGCTCAGACACATAGTTAGAGACCAAGATAAACACAGTGGGTTTTGTGGTTTTATAACTGTGTCTTATTTTAACAATGTCTGGTGCTATCAGCATGATCAGTGAAACTTTCATTTTAGCAGCTGCTACAAAAACATAATAGTTCGGAAAAAAMCAGTTCTGAAGAAATTTTCACATARAATCACAATGGTTGTATTTATGTAATCGCTCTTGGCAAGAGCTTTGGTAAATTTAAGTTGAAATTCATCCATAAAATTAACTGACTTTCTCAATCCACTTGAACCTTGATYTGTTGTGGTGTAATGTTCTAGAGTTGATGAAGATGCTTTACAATTGGAATATGTAACCCCAAATGAGATTACACCAACTTCTTCTGATTCAGAATTTCCTGCTGTTGCAATATGTGTTGTTGCACAGAAATGAGGAGTAATTCCCTCTCAGACACTCTGTTGAGATTGCTGCCAGGGAACAGAGATATATTCTTTCACTGCTAAAGACAAGGCATCACTTCTRTTGTAAACTCAGATCTCTCTCAGTGAGTTTACAAACTTGTTCTAAATAATTCACTTCATCTTGAAGCTCTGTTTTCCCAGGTGACAAAATAGTTATTTCCTTAAAACTATTTTTTTTTGCTTTAAGAAAAAACCAACCATGTGGCTATTTTGAAGCTGTGGAATAGACATCCTTTATACAACAGACAATTGAGTTTTCACTCAGAGACTTTTCTGTTATTTTTTAAAAATCATTATTATTTGTGAATTCCTTATTGAGTAGAACTGTCCTGAGTCTGCATCAGTTGGCTGCAAAGTGTGGTGGTGTTTGAGCTCTCTCCTGCATAGGCAGGTTGCAGTGGGGCTGCRTGTTCAGCAATGAACGCAAAGCAGAATTCAATCACACATTGCYSTYACCACCAGCAAATGTGCAYRTGTGTGTGTGTRTATGTGTGTTTGTGTGTGTAGCCCTCACTTACAAGAAAGCAAAAAGAGCAACGAGTACCACAGGGAGCATTTCTCTTCTCTTGTTTCAGAAATGTTTCTAACTCCAAAGCTGGCATTTCTGCTCTCAGATGATCTGGTTTCAAGCTATGTTGCTATTGTAGCCAAGGGCTGCTGCAAATTAAGTACTTCTACTGCAGGGCAGTGTCCCTGGAACACGTGCTGGTAGCAACCTTTTGGGCTGGCTCTCAAAGGAACATGATATTAAAATCACAGGATGAGAAATCCCGAGGCTTTTGCAGAGAGACCTGCCATCCAAATTTAGGCATACTTGAAATAMAGGTGGTTTTGGAATAAAGATTGCAGCATGTCTGTCTTCTACCAAGAAAATCAGTCTGTGCTGGAAGGCAATCACATGTTGAGTTAAGGCTGGATAACCAGAGAAGAGAGCTGAGTCATGTGAGAGGAAAAGACTAAGTTGCTCTTCAGAATTTGATCACAAGCTTTTCCTGCTTCCAAGGCATGACAATTCTATTTTTTGTAACACASACATTTATAAATATCTCACAGTACATTCTCTGACTTTGAAGGGGTTTGGTGCATTCTGGTCGGACCCATGGCAGTTCAATGGGTATGATCAGTACTTTCTCATGGCCCTTAACTAGTAACTAGTTTAATACTATGGCTRTTTAACTTTTTACCTGAATTTGTGTTTGGTTGGATGAAAAACCATTGTGTTTTCTTGCCATGATCAGTTAGTCAATTAATTTTAATAACCAGTGAAAACATACTTAGATTTATCTCATGTAARGAAGAAAATAGAGATCTTCATGTTTGGGCTCCAAATTAGTTCCTTGCAATGTTCACTCCATGCTTTACAGTATAGATTTCTGCCCTCCAGGAGTATGTTCTCATTTTCAGTACTAGGCTAGTTGTCCTGTGGTGAATGAAAGATGAAATGATATGCCAGAAGATCCTCATCTCTTAGGGAGTAAAAGGTGGCAGGAAAAAATTAATATTTTTCACATATTTCTGGATCCCACAACTCTGAGACTTGTCTGACATCAGCAAACCAGACAGTGGGAAGCATCCCTCTCTGGATGGCCAGTTCTGAGCAGGACACAGGTGGATGCTCCAGGATCTCTTTCAGTTTTTCCTTAGTGTTGAGTTGTCATMGGTTGAACACTTCCTGCTCTTGTTCTCATGCTGTTGCACCACTTTACTACACTTCCTGCTTGGCTCAGAGTTTTTATCCCTCCTTGACCTTTCCATTGTAATCATAGATCCATCAGCCCTTCAGCTTAAGGCCCACTTAGGGAACTCTCACACTTGTGGTGTCAGTCTGATGCTGCTTGTCAACATTTGAAAGGTTCAGATCTGAAAGTGAATGTTGGACATCTGGAGATGTCCATACTACTGTTCTCTATTGTAGTCACAAAACTTTCTTTACAGAAAACCCAGCTGGGACTTGCTACCACGTTTTAAAATATCCCTATGAATAATGGAACTATAAAATATTTCGTCATTGTTGTAGCACATAGGGGATCCAGTAATAAATTAGAGATCCTCTGTGACAAGTAGATATATAATAAAACAAAAACCTYTGGGAATGCTTCAGTCTAAGTTCATATTTTTTCATGATACCCAAAAATACCCAAAAATAGGATTAATCAAATTTCATGCCTAAGGGCTTAAACAGATGGAATATGAAAGAAAATTTCACCAGTCAGCAGTGCAGTAGTCCTGCATCTCCAGAAAGCGTGCACTTTCTTAATGTACAAGATAAAACCTTTCATTTAAACATTTCTCACAGCTTATCTAGTTTCACTTAGGCAGTGGTTTGAAATAGTAGAATCTCAGATTTATTTCCGCAACTAGAGAACAGAGTTTCGGTTTTATTTGAAATATTTCTTTCTGCCTGTTCTAACTAAAATGCCAACTTTATGACAAAATCATTAAAATGCTTAAATGCTAAACAGAATTATATGATTCAGTGTTTTCATGTAGATATGTTTTYTCTCATAACTGCTTTTCCAGGTTGTATTGGTCAGTGGACATCTGGACAGCTGGGACGTTGGGCAGGGAGCTATGGATGATGGTGGTGGAGCATTTATATCATGGGAAGCAYTGTCACTCATTAAGGATCTGGGTAAATCTTTAATTTTAAAATATTTTTAATGCATTATATTTCCTGGACATTTTGTATGATGTCTACACTGGATTTTCTATTTTATCTGTGCTTCTGAGCACAGATATTMATTTTGTCACTATACCCCTCAACACTAGTTCAAAACAGACTTTTTAGATTGTTGAGTTGATATCCAAGGATGCTTTTTYRCCTTCATCAGATGGAATCTRTTTTTCCTCCATATTYCCTTTTTTGACAAACRTGACCTGTGGTCAAGAGGAATGCCCAGCATACTCATTAGAAACTAAAGTCAGCTCCTGCTCTTAGCCCTGGCAGCCTTTAAATAAYAAACTAACTTTCCCTGCTTCCCAGCGGAAGGATTTGTGCACTTCAACAATTTCAGTCTTTCCTGARGAGTTCTTTGTAGACAAGCTCTGTTATGTGATTAGCTGCTTGCATCCTGCAGTTGTGAACATCAGACATCCCTGTGAGTTCCTATTCCTTTATTCTGCATTGTTTGAACCTCTAAGCTCTCACTTTCCCAGCCTTGGAATGGTTGGATTATCAGTCTGTAACTAAAACAAAGTGTGTCTGTTTAAATTTTTGATCTTTTAAAAGAAAACAAAATAAGAGTCTTCWATGGAGAATCCAGGCCTCTTCCTTCTTTTAGTTTTTTCATCTTTTTTTAATGACACTTAGAAAATTGTCTATGTTTCCTCCACCTTAAAGGGGAAAAAAAAATTATTCTGCTGTGTTTGCTATTCTATTCCATTCAGAATAAAGTGTTCTGTATTTCTTAAGGGCAAGTTCATGGTGGCATTGTATAATTCTTATTCACTGGGTTTCCCTTCACGCATGACTGAAATGCATCACTTTCTTCTTGTTCAAATATTTGATTTCCTCTGGTGGTAGCCTGTGTGTTTGCTGTGTGAGCTGTGTTGAAATGCTGTTCTCTCAGCTGGGCAATGCTGGAGCCTTTGCTGATGCTCTCTGTTCTGGGCAGCTGTTGTGCTCAGCTCTTCTTCTTGTACCCGTGTTCTGCAGCAACAGAAGGCTGGGAGAGAATTTCTGGGTTTTCACATCTGTACATAACCAAAAGACATAGAGTCTTTCACAAACTGCCCTCCAGAGTGGATTGGTTAATGCAGATTTTATATCTTATTATGTATATAAAATCTGACAAATTTAAAAAAAAAAGGGACAGCGAAATAAAAATGTGGAGATTGTGTGAAAAACAAATGAATGACTTCTATTTAAGATCAATTCTATAGATTTTATTTTGAACCAGCACTGTGTTTTGAACTGTGGACATTTTGATATTCTTTTGGACCCTGATAAAGTTAGTCTCACACTAGTCCACCAAATACATTTGATATGAAAATAAGCCAATTCAATTGGCTCTGTGCACATGTGGAAATTTTTGCTTTGTACAGGGAGTCTTGGTGCATTGTGTAGCCATAAAAACTGTGTCTACATTTACCAGAGTATAACTGCTCTTACAGCTGTGGTGATGCAATCCTCAAGATGAAATGAGCATTCTGAAATATGAATTTTAGAATAGAAAATTTATATTGTGTAGTGAGAAATAATGACAGTACTTCTGCCATGGTCCCCTGCTTTAACGAAAGTGAAATACTACTACACTGTTGAAGCAGCTTTTTATCAGTGATGATCTAATARCATTTCATCATGATATCATTGTGACTCTTGGACATGGCTTGTGGACAAGATACAAATTATGCCTATTAAYTGGGATTTTGAGAATTTCATGCAGTACTTGAAAAGTTATTATAGTTGAAATGCARTTCCATAYTTTCAACATAACCTCCTCTCAAAACCATTTCATAGCTATTGACTTAGGACCAAATACATGAAATTAATTGCAAAACCATTAAAATTATAGTTTATGAGGATAAGATTTTATTTTAAGCAAAACAGTTTGTTTTCTTGCCTCAAGTRAAATTTGTAATAGCTTTTGCTTTTATTTCTAAGTAAATCAGTTACTTAATGTATTGGCCTTTATACTTCCTCRTATTTCCTGAATCTTCAGTGTTAGYTTTTATTTTTTTAATTCAGGTGGCACTATCTGTACTGTATTGGTATCTTTTTTTCTTTCTGTTTTGGTTTTTTAACTTTTCAGACACCGTAATAGTTACACGCTCCCTACAAGAATATGTACCAGTAGCACAAAATGAAGTAGTTTTACATAGCCTTCAAAACTTCAAATATTTGGTAGCATTTTTTTTCCATTTCCATTTTGACTTCACTTAACATTGTTTCTTTTTGAGTGAAAGGCAACTACATGKAGGTTAGACTTGAAACTGACTAGCATTATATTATGAAAGAGTGGAATAAAAGTATTTTGTTAATGTAAAATCACAAGAGTAGTGCCTTAAAAACATCAGGCTGMTTGCAAGCTGCTGYAGTTTTTGARCACTTTTTAAAGCTATAACCATTCRGTTAGSTGTGGAAAGTGGAAGAGCTGACAAGTGGAAAGTTTCAGTCTGTATGGATACTTGGCCTCTAATAGCTGTAATATCTCTCTGCTTGTCTTCCACAGTGGGATGATGAGAAGGGGGTACCTGCTGGTGGTGCCATTCCCTCTCCTCCTTCTTCAGGGAGGAAGTACAGGCAACAAATTTAGAGCAAATGCCAACTTCCAGGTGGTTACATTTCAACAAGGTGAATCTTGCTATGTTTTCTGTGCAGCTGCCATTTCACTCTCAAAACATCTCCTTCAGCAACATATAGTTAAATGTCAGCACCAGCGTGTGCTCCTGTTGGTACCCACAATGGTTGTAGACATCTCCTGACCAGAGTGAAAAAATGCATTTTCCTTATCAAGTTCTCTGTATCAACTACACTCTGCTGGCTGCTGGCTTTGCTGGTAACCCATCTCAGCCAACTAATGGCTATACTGACTACTGTTATTCAAAGGGGTCTTTTCTCACAGTTATTAATGAAGTTTGATGAAGCACAAAGAAAAGGAAAATATGAATTAAATTTTTGAAGCTTACATATGCCACTGATAGGCAAGATCTTTGGCAAGCTGATCCATGGCAGATGTGCTTAAAAATGGAAGAACTAGAAGTGTTTCCACAGAAATTGTTCATGTGRAGAAAGATGAACATTTCAGCTGGTTATTGCTCCTTATTGCTTTTACTGGGAATAAAGACACTTTCAGAGTTGCTAAGGCAGTTTTTGAACYGGTGTGAACTGGTAAATTCCCTTTCCTTTGGGGAAGCCAAGGCTTTTGTGATGAGCTGAGGATTTCTGATCCTTAAGAAATTACCTTCCATAACTGCAGTCAGAGTGTCCATGGCAGTAAACTTGTGCAATGTGCAGTTTGCCTTCTGTGATGTCTGGCAGCTGCTGCCCTGCCCAGCCCTCTGCAACTTTTAATCTTTTGATCTATTTTAATTAAATTTGATAGTGCCATAAATATATTTGGAATATAAAGTTCTGACATACCCTTGTCAAATGGGTGATTGAAGAGAAATGGGCAAGTGCATTTATGTTYCACCTGTGGAGAGGCAAAAAGAAGGCGCTTTTATCTTTCTCTTCRTGTGGCAAACAGCTGGTTACCAGAACACGTGTAGAATTGTTGTAATCACCAGTCTCTTTGCTTTTAATCTGCCTGCAAACTCAGTGTGATGGATAGCAAATATCTCTRTGGCAGTATTGAGAGTCTTATTTGGGGTAATTACGAGATGATGGGAAGACACTAGAGGTGTTTTGTTAGAGAAAAGGCTAARGGGTTCCCATCTTGAAGCTGAGGAAATCCATGGAGTGTTGCATGATCTGTAATGTGGTGTGATGATGGCCTTTGGAAGCTGTAGGAGAGACAACACTCGAGCAAATTGGGGTTTTCTATTTTACAGAACATCTGTGTTGCTAATTACAGTCTAGAAATCTCAATCCRAACTTGTTTTCACGTTGCATTTATAATTCTGAAATTATGTGTTTGTTAGTTTACGTGCAAAAAAGAACATCTTGAGCTGGCCAATGCCATTTGCCTCAGCATTTTCATGTTGGTCCMGTTAGTGCTCTGGTGTCATTCGACACACAGCTTCTCATGTCCCTCTCTTGCATGAGGTTTACAAAAGAAGCTGCTTTTCCAGGTGAGATGAAAGACTAGCTAARCAGCTGCATATAGAATGTCACCATAAAAATCACAAAAAATTTATTTTGGTGCCATATTTTGTCTTTGGACAAACAGCCTGTGGGACTTGATCCTGCTTTGGATGTTGGTTTTCAGTTTCTGTGAAGGAGATATTTGTGCTCCTTTCCCAGCATTCCAAGTCTACAGCTGTTCTTGCTCAGGAGTTGTGTACAGTTTAATTGAGCAAGAAGCAGCCAGTGTGTATCCAGTGATTTCAGGGCTTTATCCAGGGCTGCCCCCTTGCTCCTAACCCAACTGTGCTCCAGTGTTGCTTGGCTGAGGGGCAWTTCCCAGCTGAGGTCACGGTGTTCTGCCCTCCCCCAGCCCTGCCAAAGCCACCTCACACCCCAGTGCTGGAAATGTGGGACTTTCATCCCTAAAAGGAAGGAGTTTGAAGGAACTGGATAATGACAATAATAGAGAAAGGTCTTGAAGAGGTGGTTTTATGGCAGTGCCAGTTTTCCAAACATAGGAGCTTAAGTCTCCTAACAGCAGTAGAGGGAGCCTACTGGAGTTTGAAATGCAGTTCATTTTGATGGATGAATTTCACTGCTTTTTTCTGAAATACTTCAGAAGTGATAAYAGTCATGTCCCTGTTTAATTAATGCAGCTGGAATAAAAGTTTTTCCTGTTGAGAATAGAAACTGATAGGGTCTGTTACTTGATACTACAGGCTAGTTTCTTTTCAGGATCCCATCTCCACTAACACAGGAGGAATCAAAGTCAACAGATTCTTTGTCCACATCCCTGGTTTCTCACAACATTTACCCACAATCTCTCTTTCCTTGTTCAGAAATGCTTTCTACCTTTTGCTGGCTGTTTTTGTGTCTCTCTCGCTTCATTGGTGCCCTGCCAAGCC